AAAAAAAAAAAAAAAAAAAGATGGACAGGAAATCAGACGCAGAGTAGGGGTCCGGGTTCCAGCAGCACAGAGCCCCGGGGAAGGCTGGATCTCTGGGGTCCTCCTACCTGAGCTTCAGGGAGGCGTAGCGCAGAGTGGCTCCTTCGAACTCTTTCAGGCTGGGGTCTGGATTAACAGTGGCTGCGTGTAAATCCTGGGGGAGAAACAGGTGCCCTGCAGTCAGCCGGGGGACCCCCACTGCCAGCAGTTCCCTCCAAGCTTCAAGGCCCTGAGGCACGTGAGTCAGAGGCGGGCAGAGGCATGCAAGGCTGGGGCTTCCAGCAGGTGACCTTGAGCAGCCACAGCGGGAACGCTGGGAAAAACAAGGCAGCATGGACGCGAGCTGACCAGCCTGGTGAGAAGCCCCCTCGCTCCATCCCTGCAGAACGCGCCGGGTTCACCAGGGAGCGGACACAGCCACAGCCATGCAAGGAGCCAGCACACGCACCAACGGAACAAGGGCACACCCGACGAGATACTTGCCTTCCAAATGTCACTATTAATCTTCCCCCCATTCAGAACAGCAAAATCACTCCACGGCTGTTTCTGGACAGATAAGTGTGCACATACAATAAAGAAAACAAATAAACCAAGCACATTGATTTAAAAAAAAGAAGGAGGAAAAGGGGATAAAAACAAGCAAAACAGAAAATGAAACACAAGACACAGTTGTTAGCATTGATATTCACAAGATGGGTTAGGGAACAAATTAGCTCTAAAAGAGCTCTCGGCCATCGAGTTGATTTTGACGCACAGCGACCCTATAGGACAGGGCAGAACTGCCCCCTGTGGGCTTCCGAAACGAATGCTTTACATGAGTAGAGAGCCTCATCTTTCTCCCAAAGAATGACTGGTGATTTCGAACTGCTGACTTTGTGGTTTGGCAGCCCAAAGCAGAACCACTAGGCCACCAGGACTCCTCTAACTAAAATACCTGGGGTGTTCATTCTGGTGCAGACCTGGATTGTCACCCGCAGGCTGTGCTGTGGGGAATGCCCACGGCCCAGAGCAATGCCTAAAGAAGGGAGCACCTGCATGCATTGCAACAGACCGTAACGTTATTTTCTACACATGGGTTTACAGGCAAACAAAATGTTTCCATGTACTGAAGGTCTGGCTTGATTCCATGTGAACTCCCTCCTCAAGCCCCACGAACCAAATCACTGTGCTGCAAGTAGGGGTGAAATTAGAGCTGGCACTTCCCGGGGTGCTGGTTTGGACAATGGGCATGCACAAGAAAGGGGATTCAGAGCTGGAGCCTGATTGTCTTCACACCACAGGAAAAGGGGCTCAAAAGGCACACCTGCAGGCATCCATCCATGCCTCGGTGCCATCCCACCCAGGGAAAACTAGCTCTAAGCAACCTCACGGGAATCTCCACCCCCACCCCGCCCCATCCCCTGTCTATGACACACATGGCTCTTCACAAACTAATATTTGGCCATGGAGTGGTTTTGAAAGCCAACTCGAGCGCCAGGCACTAAACATTGGCTCGCTGGAGGAGGCTGACAACGGTTGTCTGAATTTCCACAGCCCCTCCTTCCTTCCTGCCGTTCACCTCAGACGCACAAGCGGCCTTCTTTTCTGGGCGGAGTGCACCGTCCCACACTTTACACCTGGAACTGGGCCCGCATGGCGCCGATGCACTCCAAGGGCCCCCTCGCTGGGCGTCATTACCAGCCATGGGAATGCCTCAGCTCATGTTCCTTGAACGGGGGCACGGAGCGCCGACCCCTCGCTGGTGCTCAGGGCACTGACACCGTTTTCAAAGCCGGGAAAAGTAGAAAGCACCAAGTTCAAGGGCCCCTACGCTGGAAGATGCATCCACCCCCTAAGGACAGCGTGGGAGCGGTCGTTGCAGGTGTGAGACCCTTCAGCCCTCCCGCTCAGTTGGTGTCACTGTTGCTTTCTTTTGGGGGTGAGGCACGTGACGTGTGGCTTTTCAAAAGGACTTGGCCCGCTGCATTTATTTATAAAGATCTTTTCGCTTATAAAAGAAAGGAGCAGGAATGTTGCCCACTGCCCAACCCTTTCTCTCGCTCTCCCACTCCACCCCCCCAGGGCATGACAACGGTCACCGAGGAGAGCATTCTTCACAGAGCCCACCCGTCAGCAGAGCGGAACTGTGAACACCGAGAAATGCCCTCGTCACACACCGTCACAGGGGCAAGTGGCCCGAACCAGGTGCTTAGATGGACAGACAGTGCCCTCCCGGAGTCAGGTGGCTGCTGGGGACAGCCACAGAGCCACAGAGGCCTCCCCAATGAGGTCTGGGCCCCCAAGCCACCTTTCCTAGCCCCAGGCCCACCTTTTCCTCCGAGCTCTCAATTCACGGACTCCAGGAAACATCTTCCATCAGAACGAGATGCGAAGACTCGGCTGCGGGCCAAGAGCCATTCATCCAAATCTTTTACGCGCTCTTTCTGCTTTCTAAACCCTGACACCCAAGTCATTTGGGAGATCTTCTGGAACAAAGCCATGGCCGGAGGAAGAGCACCACGTGCCAGATTCCAGCAGCAAACGCTGCCCCTCCGTTTGCAGGCGCTCAAATCCCCCCCTGGCCAGCGCATGCCGTGGCCGCGTCTTTACACGCTGCCGGTGAACTTCAGAGCGTGAGAGGCACAGCTTTCAGACGGCGAGGAGGCCTTCAGGCCTCACTTCTGTGAAGTTGAGTCAATGGATTTGGCACTTACTCGTGGTTAGCCACTTGGGCACGGTGGTGGTAGTAGTGGTGGGGGTGCTGGGGTGGGGTGGGGGTGTAGTTGAATACATTTCTAACGACACCTATTAGAGATGACGTCTCCCTAATATTTTGCTCTCTGTGTACTTACAAATTCGCAGAAATAGATTCTGATGGCGATCCAAGAAATGGTGTGAAATAACCAATCCCTTTGCTTCAATGTCATGATCAACTGAGGCAACGTTACCCAGAGAAGTCACTTTCCTGGAAAGCTCCGTGAGTCCTACAGTCAATCCTCTGCTTCAGATCTGCCGTGGGGTGGCTCCTGCCATCCCTAGCTCTCCCA